ATAGATAATAGAGCAGAAAGTTCATGCAGTAACACCAAAATTAACGAACAGTTTATTTAATTTAAAATTCATTATTAAATTAACGAATATTTTACCATGATTGTCCATAGGTAACTCTTGTTACACTTATTACTGTGGCTCGTGTGATTGTGTCGAAGTCCCATGAAGCTGATACGAAGACAAAAATAATGTAAGTTACATCATTTTGATATAATGATGAAATTTGGACATTCGCAATGTTAGTTGGTTAAAAATTGCCTAATAACCAGCAGCGTAGCCAGCCCGACGATTTAGTCCCACTATGCAAATATTTTCGTGTTCATTGCCTGTAAAACAATCAATTTCTAAAGAAATGAATAATGATAATAATTTTGAATTTGTATAGCGGGACTAAATTGTCGGGCTGGCTACGCCACTGCTAATAACATACATGAAATAAATTTTCAATTCTGATTGGCTGAGAATACGTACAATGCAATTTTGAAATACAGTGGAGAAAAAAAAGGAAATAGCCTACAGTGCATTTTCAGCAAGAAGACCCCAAGAACCAGCTTGAGCGAAGAAGCAATTCAACATGACTGCATGTAGATAGGCAGATTTTAATTTGAATTGACATGATGGAGTTACTCTATTTAATTTCGGTTGTTAAAGAGTTCCAAATGTGTGCCCCGTCAAACATGAAACTATTTTTCAAGTTATTTTTCAAGGCTCAAGCTGTGGTAAACAAAGAGTTTTTTCAACATCTCGAAATTTATAATTTGTCATTTCTCTTTTGAAAGTAAAAAAATCAGTAAGTCATTTGGGACCCATTTTATTCAAAAATTTAAACATCAGTTTGGACATTTATATTTTCCGTTTTAATTGGCTTACTGGGTTGTTTACCATTTACATGGATATTCCGGTGATTCCATACGGAAAGTAAATGGAACAAGCATATTTCGACTGCCCAACCGAAACTTTTCCGGAATGAACGGTTTGTTTGAAAAGGTTGTCCTCTCTTGCCTCTCTTACCGATTGGAACGTTTCAACCGGTAAATTTTGTTCCATTTACATCTTTTTATTTTTTCACCAGTTCCAGGCTCTTACCGATTTAACTATTGGAATTATAAAATACTTCAGTGCCTTCCGGTCAGTGCATAATCCGAATGGGATTTTCTATCCGAAATTTTGCTTACCATTGGCACAATTTCAAACCGGATGGGTTTTCCGTGTAAATGGTAAACAACCCTGCAGTCTAAAACATCTAACAATATACATAAATATATTACTCGACTGTGATTGGTTGATTTCAGTGCAGTTAATCCCAAACAGCAGTGCAATTTTCTGCACAGTGCAATTTTCTGTAATCAAAGTGCAAAATTCTGTAACAAACTGATCTGATTGGTGGGAAAACATTGTGATGATTAAATCAACCAATCAGTTTAAAGCAATTTAGTTTAAAGAAGTAACGGTCACAGATTGCTTCAAAACAAAACAAACATGGCGCCGCGCTACATAAAGCCAAAGTTGCCTTCACGTGGAAAATATGGCTTTTATCTTTATTTTTAAATGGAGAAGCATTCACCTTAAAAAAGACTAACAAAAATTATATAGCTAGTTGAGTGGAATTTTCAAGCTGTTAGCGTTGTATAATGTGATATAATCAATAGTCAATAATATATAGTCAATAATAATAATAATAATAATATAACAAAGCCAGGAAAACTTTGCCAGTGGAATGTTCGCTATAAACGCGTAAGTTGAAACTACAATTGTCTCGAACATTTTTATGTAAATTATTAATAAGTAATAGCATGGTTTCTCGTGAAATTTGGATAAACATGCACTCGTGAGTTTTTCAAATACCTCAAATAGCACTCGTCTTTCGGACTCGTGCTAGTTAGAGGTCTTTGAAAAACTCACTCGTTCATGTTATATCCAAATTGCACTCGAAAACATGCTATTACCTATACTAAAACAACCATATGATCCACATCACTGCTCATATTCCTTGTGATTCGATTTCGAGCAGCTCTATTTTGGAGCGTTTGCAGACGTTTTGATTGTGTTTCACCAAACACATCCCATACTTCACAGCAATAAGTAAAGTATGGGCGAACAATGGAATTATATGCAGAAACAAGCGCATCTTTCTCAACAAATTATTTTATTTGAAGAAGAGCTGATATCCCTGATGTTATTTTCTTGCAAATATTTTCAGTGATTATTGTTCTTCCAAGAAAAGTATATGCTGGAGTCAGCAGTCACTTCAAAAGTTTTTTAATCATAACCTTGTTTAATTGGTTTGTTTTCGATGATAACGTTTGGCTGTTCTTTGAGATACTTTTTATCATTGGTTTAGATCCAATGGGCAATTCCAGCAATAGACTAAATTTGGATCTAGGCAAGAAGAACAAAATCCATCACAACAGCTAGAAAGAGCATGTTAAAATCAGTAAAATTGCAAAGTTTGGCCGCGAAATGTTGTAAAATGTGAAAATTTAAATATTGCCCTGCGAAATTTGCAAATTTTGTATTAATTTGTACTACGCGCGGGAAAATGTACCACATTTGGGCCGAAAGTGGTGCAAATTCCCGTGCGTAATACAAATTAATACAAAATTTGCAAATCACGTAGAGCTATATTTTCGTCATTTTACAACATTTCGTAACCAAACTTTGCAATTTTACTAATTTTAACATTCTTTTTCTAGCTGTGGTGACGCTTTTTTTCTTCTTGCCTAGATCAAAATTTAGTCTATAGCTGGTTAATTTAGTTTTGACTATATTTAAACTTAGTTTATTGGCAATTAACTATTTTCTAAGGTTTTCTAAACCAGAATTCATTGCGGCTTCAACATCACAGATTCTCCCGCAGCTGTTAGGTACGTTTGTATCATCGCAAACAGACGAGGTTTTGTTTTGTTTAGACACTGAGGCAAGTCATTAATATATAACAAACAGAATAATTAATGGTCCGCCTGAAATAGAGCCTTATGGCACACCACATTTTATAATCAAACCGCTCTGATGAAATAGTTCCATTTATTTGGCATTTCTGAGTGCGATTCATTAAGTGCGATTTTAGTAGAGCAAAGGATCTCCTTTTATACCGCATAGCCTAAAGTTCGAGGTTTGTGTAGCAAAATCTGGTGGTCGACAGCATCAAATGCCTTTTTGTAAGTCAATTTGGAAATAACATGCACGAGAGAGTTTTTCAAAGACCTCGAAATAGCACGAGTCCGAAGGACGAGTGCTATTTCAGGTCTTTGGAAAACTCACGAGTGCATATTTATCCAAATTTCACGAGAAACCATGCTATTACTTGTTAATAATTTACATTGTAGTTTTAACTTACGACTAATATAGCGTATTAGCGAACATTCCACTATCAAAGTTTTATCGTCTTGTTACAGATTTTTGCACTGTGATTACAGAAAATTCAAAATTGCACTATGATTACAAAAAATTGCAATATAATTAGTTTTGTTATATCAATTATACAACGCTAACAGCTTGAAAATTCCACTCAACTATGCATGTAAGTTTTGTTAGTCTTGTTTAATTTAAGGTAAGGGCTTCCCTATTTAAAGAAAAGATAAAATTTATATTTTCCAACCGAAGTCAACTTTTACTTTGTGCAGCGCGGCGCCATGTTTGTTTTGTTTTGAAGCAATGTGTGACCGTTACTTCTTTAAACTAAACTGCTTTAAACTGATTGATTGATTTTATCATGACATTGTTTTTCCACCAACCAGATCAGTTTGTTACTGATTTTTGCACTGTGAATACAGAACATTGAAAATTGCATTATGAATACAAAAAAATTGCACTGTATGTGATTACAGAAAATTGCACAGTGATTACAGAAAATTGCACTGCTGTTTGGAGTTAACCACACTGGAATATTAATCAACCAATCACAGCTGAGTAATATTTTTCATTTGTATTATAAGAACAGGTAATCACAAGGGAAGGAGTGCGATTAATGATTAACACTACGAGTGATATTTTAAAAATGTGCCAAATGTTATTATTTATTTATTATATGCATGATAAAATCGCGTTCTTTCAAATTCAACTGCATTTTGTCATTTTGTTTTTAATTCTTTTGTAAGCAATTTGGAATAAATAAACTTGGGAAATGACTCCTAAAGGCACATAACTTAAGCTATAGAACACATTATTCAAACTCAAACAACATATTTTAGAGAAGAAAATCTTCATAAATCGTACTACAGACTTACATAGACACGTTTCGCTTCATCCCGTCGAGGTTATTTTTCAAAACTGTTTTCAGGCATTTTCCACAACCTCTTTTTGCCATACTATGTTTTTAAACTTATTCTTGTGCCAAAATTTAGTTAAATTCGTCCACGTTTGTTATTCCTATAGAAGATACATTTCGCAGCCATATTGAATTTTTGTTGTTTTGATTTCCCGCTCACAACAGCCATCGCGATAATCATTAACTGCTCTTCCGAACAGTGCAATTATTAATCACTATATCACTCAAAACCATTCGTTTAGTTTGTAATTACATGGTCACCAAGGGAATAGGCCAGACAGTGGAGGCTTGTGAAATTCTTTATCTAATTAAAACAATGAATCATTATAAGCAAAAGTTATCCCAGTTAGCGAGAAAACTTTTCAACTAGCCAAATAGTTTTGTTCTGTTCGTCTCATATGAACGGAGTGTAACTTTTCATATTATTTTCATAACAGGGCGAGATCTCGCTTGTACGTAAACTTGTCGAAACGTTTTCTCGCTAGTCGCTAACCGGGATAACTTTTGCCCATATGAACAGGCCCTACGTGTCAATCTGTAGATACGTTAATTTAGTTACCCTCTTTATTTGTGTTAATTTCCGTAAGCTTTTTACTCATTTCCCCTCTTTTGTTGAGTAAATTTGCGAAACAATGGAGGCTATTGTTTATCTCGTTATCGAATTGGTTCAGTGAATCCACGCTGTAAATTTGACTTTGCTAATACAGCATGTTTGTCGGATCAAGGGATTGATAGCTGATGTACGCTTTTCGATCGTCACCGATAAACAAGTTGCCGAAGTAAGGAAAATCTTGTTTCTTCGGCCACCAAAAACATACACTGTGGTGTAAGAACGTATACGAAAAATGGGCGGCGGCAAGGAATAATGAGTTCCACGATTTTGCACAAGAGAGCGAAGAATTTACTTGTGTATACCATGCAAGCATCGATGATGCATGCGACGTGAAATAACTCCAGTATTGGCTGAAGTGTGGGAAGACTATGAACAAAGTGTTTCGAATATTCAGTTTGGGTGCAATATTGCAGAGAGCTAGTCACTCTTCAAAACATCAACAATAAATGGCATTACAAACTTGCGATTAAATGCTCTTTGAAGCATTTTCTATGAGGCATGTCTTGAGATTTAACAAAGCTGTACTTCGATGTATGATGTACATTTGGAATTAAGGTATATTTCATCATATATTCTCTAGTTCTGCTGCCCGTGGTGTTATTATTTTATTCCCTACCCTTGGCTTCTCCTGGGGATTCAGTGTTATCGCAGTTAATCATGATGCCTTGGTCTGGAAATATCTCTTCGCAATTTTTGCTTCGTTGCAGGTAAGAGAGAAAATAACAACTCTCATTTAATAATAATAATAATAATAATGTCATTAATGACTTTATTTATACCCACGCTAAAAATATTTACAAAATGAGAAGTGATTACCTGATGATTCATTTCACATTGTGAAATTTTTAGTGGAATTGAAAATGCGTATGTGAAAATGCCCATTTGAAAATGCTCATGTGAAAATGCCCATTTCATACGTGAAATTTACAATTTCCACATACGAGAAAGGCTCACATCAGAATTTATTTCACATGTGAAATTTGGTATTTCTTATTAACCGAACGCGAGGTCTGTACAGAGAAATATCGGACCAAGGTCTAACAAAAAGACGAAGGTCGGATATTTCTCTGTACATACCGAGCAAGCGAGCTTAATAAAAAGTTTATTAGGGTCTATATGGCATTTATACTTGAAACAAACAAGAAATACGTGATTTGAAATGCATATTCTATAGTAGCGTGGTACACATTTTGCCGAAGAAAACAAAATACTAATGTATTCCTTTTTTTCCTTCTTGGCTCATTGAATCAATTATCTTTTGATTAATAATAATACTAATAATAATAATTAGTGACATGCTCCGAAGTTTACTTGCCTTCGACTTGCGGTATATATCCTTCACCAATTTAGTAATTTTTTAAGGGACCCTGTGAAAAATTTTAAAAGGGACCCTTTGAATGGGGCAATAAGCCCTGTGGGGATCACCAGTCATTTATGACAAAGCTAGTAAATATAAATAAATAATTAATTGTGGTTTTGGTTTACAGTATATACAGGGTGTCTCAAAAAAACCGCTACCCTTAGAAATTCACCATTGTTCTAATGCATATATTAAAGATCTTCGGAATTAAAATATCCTTGAAAAGCGAAATTTGTTATCCTGGGAATTGAAAATAGGTTCATACAAAAGTATAACTGCACGAAAATCGTTCAATTACATATTAGTGAATGTCAAGGAAATGGCTCGACTGAGCACAGAGCAAAGAGCAAAGAGTATTTATTGTCTTAAATGAGAAGCATAAAATTCCATTCAAATTGTTCATGCACCCATGAGTTCAAGATAGCACTCAGGCATTCAAATTAGAACAATGGTGAATTTCCAAGGGTAGCGGTTTTTTTGAGACACCCTTATAGGAGCAGCAAATTTCAGTCAGTTAAGAATTTATAACTGATCTCAAATGAGAACAGTTAAGAATTGTAACTCTGTCTGACCAGTTTATATGCAGTTATAGTTTGGCTTATATGGGCTAAAATTTTACATTGGTATTGCATTAAGGGCCCGATTTGGTAATTATATATATTTTTATATAATGCAGTAATTTTTGCCGTTTCACAGGGATTTTTCATCTTTCTTATTTATGGAGTTTGCAATACAGAGGTGGGTTGGTCTACTTATATGGTCACAGTACATGTATCGCTTATTAGACCCCGATCCGCTTGGGGGGATTTGTCGATATATTACCCGAAGTGCAGTAATATAGTGGTAGATTTTATTTACCACCTACAGAATATTAAAAAGTATTAAAAATTTACAACAAATTTAGAGTATATCAACTTATATTAGCGATAATTCTGTTTATGGCTATATTTAAAATAAGAATAATTATTGCCTATATACATATTCAAGTAAGACTATTTTGTTTACTATAATATAAGTTCGCTAAAATAGCTCAACCAAGCTGCTCTCGGTATAAATGTTTGTTTATGTCTGTCCGTATATGTGAAATTGGCGCTAAAAGTGGGTTACGTAGACAGCCTGTCCTTAAGTTATATTCATTTACATTAGTTCGACAAATAAATCTTTTACATGCATGCATGGGTGATTTTCTGATTATTATATTCTTTGCGTGTCAAAATGTTCCTTCTTGATTCGAGCGACTCAATTGTGTTCCTTGGTATAATATCTAGACACCGATTTTGTACTCTTTCGATATCTTCCTTTAGGTACAGTTTGGTAAATTGCTTTATATAATAACTATATACAGTGAAACACGCAATAGCAGCGCTGTTATCGTAATTGAATACGTCTATGCTACAGACCAGCGGTTTCTGCATTATTTTAACATCGAGACGAGGCTATAGAGTCATGTTTTGTTTTTTGACCCTTTAGCCTCGTTTTCGCGCGTACTTCCACTGAGATACCGCTGCTATTCCACAGCGGCGTATTCAATTACGATAACAGCTATTTGATTGGTCAATAGCCGTGCAGGATCAGGCTAACCTGTACGAGAAAATTAAAATGCCTTCGCGAGATTTTCGCGGGTTTCTCAAAATGTCATTGTTTCACTGTAGTTATTTTATAAAATAAGTACCAAATGGTTTTCCAAGCAGGATAGCGTGATCTATGCACATGGGATGTTGCTCGAGCCGCAGGCGAGTGTATTTTTACGCTTTCCGAAAGTTTCGCAACATCCCTCATGCATGTATCACGCAATCCTGCACGGAAAACCATTCGGTATTCCTTTATTGCTGCATGCATGCCCTCACGAAATAAATTTACTTACCTTCATAATGATATTTGCCATGATCGAATGTACTTCCCATCAAAGTTAACCAACGTGAGGGAGTAGTGAGATAAACCATGAAGTACGCAATCACTTAAGTCCTCTATTGGTAAACGGCATGCATAAACTATTTACAACGAGCTGTTATATCGGCTCGCAAGAAGTATTGTATGAATTCAGTGGCAAAGTTGAAAAATTCTAATCAAGATGGTGGAAGGAGGTTAAATCATTGGGTGGCCTAAAATGAAAGAGTCATTACTGATACGTTGAGCCAGGGAGTGTTTCCCGACCTGTTGAAACGTGTCTCTGCAGTACCTATACATAAAGTTTCACCTCCCTCCTCCATATCAAAGGTGACTTAAAATCACTTAAGACCATGGCCAGATATAAAAAAAAGCTCAGATATCAAAATTGTTGGAAGATCTTGTTTTAAAATCTCTCACGTCTGAAGTAGCTCATAAATTGGATTCGAAGCAATTTGTCCTTCTAAAGAAGTCAACAACCCAAGCTTTTGTTCATCTTTTCCATTTGATTCTTTCTGTCCTAAACCATGGTCAATGTTCTGTACGTCAGAATATTTTTTGGAGATTTTGAGAAGGGCTTTGATTTGTTCGGCCACAATGTAATCATTGGCGAACTTCAAAAGCTTCAAGTTACAGTAATCACAACAATAATAAGATGGATAGGATCCTCTCTTTCCTGTCGCGAACAGTGCGTTAAAGGTGGTTCATCTACTTCATCATGGAAACGGGTCAACGGTTGTTTGCCTCAAGGAACTAAACTCCGGGCCCTTTCTGTTCGTGATTCTGATGAATTCCCGTTTAAAGGATTGGAACGCCGTATTAAGTTTGTCGATATACATTGCACAGAACGATTTAATAATTCATAACTGTGTGATTCAATAATTAGTGCACATTTTGTAAAATTCTACCATGAAATTCAGTTTATATACTGCAATTTGGTTCTAATAAACCGTTTATTATTACTGTATATAGGTATATATAATCTTAATATACCTATCTACTTTTAATACTTCGGTTACAGCTCGAACATATATATTAACATTAAAATTGGAACAATAACGTAAAAGTTTTCAACTTTAATGTGTAATTTTCAAATAATTTCGAACTTTTCAAACAATATTTTTCATCTTCACGCAGATTCGAACGGCAGTTGACCGCAGAATGGCCTATGATGTTAACCTTGTCACTTCCACGACATAGCGCAGGTAATGAACGCATGCACGTTTTACTGTATTGTAGAAACACAATTTTAAATAGCCTCAATTTCAGATGGCCACTCGTTGAAATGTCTGTCTGGAGGCACTTAGCGAACACTCAGTCCGCTCATGTCACTAACTACCTGAAGACTGGCAGTTATTTTGATGCGCTCATAATTATGATGGATAAATTATAAGATTGTGTCAAAATAATATACATTCAACTATCCAATAACACAGCGAAATCCTATAATCTGTCAACTTTACCTGTGGGAGGAAACCGGAGCATCCGGGAAAAACCTGCGGGAATTTCCGCAGAGCGTCGACTGTCTCTTTTCACATGAGTTTGAACCCTCGACCGAAATGTGAAAGGCGCTATCTCTAACGACTGCACCACCGCGATATCCAGGATTGATAAACGCGTACGTATATTTCCTATAACGATTAGCGGACATCGTAAATAATGCGATACCCTGTACAAGCGTACTTTAAACAGTTTTTAACATAAATGTAACTTTTATTGCTTGTTTTGTAAACAGTTAGGGCCTGTTCATATGGGCAAAAGTTATCCCAGTTTATAGCGAGAAAACGTTTCGACAAGATCTCGCCAAAATAATATGAAAAGTTCATATAAGACAAAAGGTTTTCCGTGTAACGTAACCGGGATAATGTTTTTCCCATATGAACACAACTTTGCCGCTTACTGGGGGATAACTTCCTGTCAATTCAATTAGCCTTTCTGGCGATGGCGAATATCCGCCATTTTGGGTGGCATCCAATTCTCGTTAACCAATGCAGACAATTAAAACAATGTTAAAAGCAATTTTTCAAAATAAACTAGCCATTTACCGAGCAAACTTACCATACCACCCAAAAATGGCGGCGTGAGAAAGGCTAATTGATGTTCAGTGCTATACGTCACAGTCGGAAACTTTACCCGGTAAGCGGGATAAGGTTTCCCCATATGAACAGAACAAAAGTATTTGGCTAGTCGAAAAGTTTTCCTGTTAACCGGGATAACTTTTGCCCATATGAACAGGCCCTTAAACAAATATAGTAACCGTTTAAAATATGTGTTCAATATACTGTTCTTATAGGCAATGGTTCCGAAACATGTATATTAGCTATTGATATATTCTACTCTTGAAACCTTACTTAAAATTAAAAGCAAACATTAAATACCCTAAACTCGATGCAACTTATTTTATATAAGTTAATTTAATCATAAAATACATAGAGCATCACACTATGTCTAATATTTAAAAATGTAGATTTTCGATCAGCTATTTTACTTATCCGTGACCGTGGAGGTTTGAAATGATATATCATCTTAATGAAATATCATTTCTGAAATAAAAGGAATTAATCCCTGAGTTAATGGGCTGGATCAATTTAGTTGTTTCTAATTTACCCATGAATTTCAGATAATCTCGTATAAGCTCTTGTTAACGTCTATAAACCTTTAAATTCGTTATACTTGTTGACAAATACACTGTTTGGATTATCGTAATTACAGCACATTGTGTATGTTCTGCAAATATTTAAATTTAATAACATAATGAACGTGATTAAACATAACTACTGAAACCTACGATTAAGGTTTACATCATTTATGAAGTCTAATCTTACATGCAATAATTGTAAAGAGTTTCCATTGTAAAAGTTAGTAAAAAAAAGGATAAAATGTAAATTGAGCATTTAAAGAATAAAATGTAATATGAGAAAATTTAAAATATACTGTATATACAGCCCATAAGATAACGCTTTTGAATTGTTTTGAAACTTTTTACTTAATGAAAGTAAAGATGCCTGAGAGGCGTTGGTTAGTTCTTTAGTTTCTGAAATACATTTCTTCTTGAAAAATAGCTTGGTTCCATGCAGTTGAGACACCGTAGATTTAATCCCTTTTTCAGAATAAAATCGTCCTGAAATCATGCAACACAACACCGCAAAAAACCATAGGAGGCCCACTAGTTAGTGGTAATAGGCATAAAAATCATAAAAATGACTAGAATAGCTTAAAATTCAATAAAATTTCATTGTGTTACCGTGAAAATATCATCCCAACATTTTTGTCTGTTTTTGTAGTCATAGGTGTTAATTGTAAAAGAGAACACTTTGATACTCGAACAGCATTACTGTGAAAAAAATATCAGTAAAAAACAAATACAAAAGTAAAAAAACGTGCAAAACGTTTGCTAATTTGCCGATAAATTTCGTGGGACGATGCCGGAGGAAAAATGCGATTCCTATCGCGAATCTGGTTGGTCGAAAAAGTAAACAAACTCGCGTGAGCTTTCAATAATCCGGGGGAAGCAAGTTACCAAACAGAAGCAGGAAAGTTGGAAATAACATCATGCGATGTTATAGAAAACTGACCGTTTTCAAAAGTAGTTTCTTTATATTTTGATGATTTTTGTCCGTCTATTTTCGAACTTTTGGTGCCTCTATTTTAGTAATTTCGTGTTTAACTTGTTCTCCTCCCTTTCTGGATTATCGAAAGCTCACGCGAGTTTGTTTACTTGTTTACTTTTACGGCTTCGTCTCACGAAATTTATCGGAAAATTAGCAAAAGTTTTGCACATTTTCTCTATTTTTGTATTTATTTTTAAAAATAATTTTTTCACAATTATGTTGGTCGAGTATCCAAGTTTTCATGTTGTTTTGACATAAAATTTTGGTTGTAAAATGAGCATCTATATGTGTGTATGGGGAAAAGAGTTTAATTTTCGTTGTTGCCGTTGTTTTGGAGTTGCCGTCCTGCCATATTTATATAAAGACTTATACGTCACTACGCCTCTGCGAATTAGAGATTGAGCATCGCATTGTTTAAATTAACACCTATATGATTACAAAAACAGTTTGTAGAATATTTTGACGGTAACACAATGCAATTTTATTGAATTATAAGCTATTTTAGTCATTTTTATTCCTATTACCACTAACTACTAGGCATCTTATGGAAGAACGTCAGGGCTTGCATCAGTTCTGACTGTAATCCTGTTGTGTTTGTACTAACCTCCATTTTTAAGGCCCAAAAAACACCTTCGACCTAATTAAACATATAAATGATGCAATTACCCATACCTTTTCAGTCGTTAGTTCCGTTCCGTTCGTGTTCGTTGGTGTTGCATTCGTGTTCACTCCTATTCATTAGTACTCACTCGTGTTCAATTCGTGTTCACTCGTGTTCCATTCATGTTTATGCTAGTGTTTCCTTGGCACTCACTCGTGTTTCGTTCCTGTTCACTCGTGTTCCATTTGTGTTGGCTCATGATTATGCTCTATCCCTGTTTACTCGTGTTCCGATGGTATAATATACTCATGTTTCACGCGCGAATGCACTCCTTTTTTATCTTGACCCCAATCCCACCCCATTCCTGACCCTTAACCTATTGTGCCAGAAACATGCGAATGTAACTTGTTCTCGTGATCATATCGAGTTTTTGATCAGATCGAATAATGCTAGGTTATCGTACGCTTGTCTTATGATGGCTCGTAAAACTTTTAACATTTACTGCATGCCGAATTAACTGTTTAAGAAAATTGTGAATGTCAATTGCTTTATTTACCCTGTATTTAGCGCTATTCTGTGTTTGGTAATGGAGAATTCCGTCTATAGAAACGCCTTGGTTGGATTTTAAGCCCCCACTGAAAATTGTGAATGTCAATTGCTTTATTTACCCTGTATTTAGCGCTGTTCTGTGTTTGGCAATGGAGAATTCCGTCTATACAAACGCCTTGGTTGGATTTTAAGACCCCACTGAACATTTCATTAAAGACATCCACAATTTACTTTAATCAAAAGTATTTATTGTTCCAAAGATACACTTCCTCAAAAAGCCCAAACAATCTTTCGAAAATCCATAAATCTATGCAAAATTCCTGAAAACCCCCGAATCCAAAAATTTCCCCCAAATTTGCTAAAAATACCTGAAATTATTAAAAATCTCGAAATGCCTACAAAATTGCCACAAAATTTTATTGTCAGTCCTAAATTATACTAAATCTCAGCAAATGACTTCCAGACAAGACTAACGTTTCGTTGTATTGTTCACAACATCTTCAGAGCAATTAAACTTATTTACAAGCGTTTCAAATAATCGAAAAAGAGGAACGGATGAAAAACATCCTGTCATTAAAAATATTAGTAAATTAAAGACATAATGGGTAGTAATTAGAGACCTAGCAAAACATTAGAATAGGCGAAGAGGAGCTGACCCAATGTTGGCATTTAAAATAGGAATAATTAAGCCTGGGTATGAAAAGGCTTTCGCGAATGAGTAAATCTGCTTCAGAAATAGCATTGGAACGGATTAAGACTCAGAGGGTGAAATTTCATGTTTAGTGATATGGATATGAGGGTGAAACAGAACGTTTCTCTCCAATTAAAGGTGAAACGTTAACACCCATGTATTCAGAAATACGCTAACGTATATGTTTCGTCGAGTTTGACCAACATACAATGCACATTCAGCATTTATGAGGTGGTTGTCATTTATTGTAACAGAGCCATTTTTTCTTGCAAAGAAATCTTTGATATAATTGAAATATAAGGGTGTAAGCCACATGCACAGAATTAGTATGTGTCAGATTTACAAGTCCTATATATCCACCAAAATTACATGCACACCCCCCCCCCCCCATCCTTTCGCATCCCCGATAAAACGAAACAAACCTTGAGCTAAAAAATATTGTTAATGATAAACATACTTTGTTTATACGATTGAATGATTTTGTATATATGTAAATAGTGTGCTAATGTGTGGGTGTTGTGCAAGTATAAATACGGACTTTGCTAAGCGAACGTTAGTTAGTTATTTGTGGAATATCGTGAAGAACTTGAAGTCAAACTTGAAGTAATATTATATGAAATAAAGTATATGAAGTTAAATATATAAAGTCAAAACAAATTGGTGCCGAAACCCGGGAACCGTTGGCGTTGTGATGAGTATAGAAGGTTCAAAGGAATTTACGAGTGATTATGGTCTGGGCGGCGAACACGACATGTTGAATTCCGAACAGTGTTACGGATTAAATAAAGAAGTTCCTTCAGCGGAATTGTTGAACATTCAAGCGAAGAAAGCCAGCAGAAGAGGTAAGATGTCGCATGTTACCAAACTGTTGAACAATATATACAAGTTAATCGAAACCTCAGGCAGTATCAGAGAACTTGATAGAGTTATTAACTCATTTAATGAAGCGTTCAGTGGCTTTGTAAAGCGCCATGACGAGTATATTGCTGTTTTGACTAGCGAAGTAGATGAGATAGAGATTGATTTGGCGACAGATAAACTAGTTGAGATTGAAGAGAAAATCGCGAACTGTAAATTGAAGGCAGAACAGTACATTTC